TCATAACACAATACGTTAGTTTGCAGGGGGTGCAGGCCAGTAATGGAAATTCATCAAAAGATCAAGAAAATGAGAGGGATTTAAAAAGTAAATATGAATGCAAAGTTTGCTACCACCATAGCCACTTCACTACAGAGTAAGCTACAGTGACTATGACACTTAGAGTATGCTTCAATTCAACATGGAACAAAAACTACAAAAACCTGCACAAACAGAAACACAAAAAAACATTGTTTCTTTTTTTCTTTTTACACCAAAAAGCTTAACAGGAAAACATTGGGCACCACATTTTTAAATAAATCTCTTTTTAATGCGATTTGCAAGTGTATTATTTTTATTTCCTCATGTTATCACATTTTAAGTCAAACACTGTTTTTGTAATGTAAATGGCTACTGGCGTATTGTTATTACCTCAGGATTGCCCATTCACATAACATAGCAGAACTGAAGGATTCCTCTGACCTGCTCTAGTTGCCACAAATATTTGTGTATGTGACCCATGACTTCTTCCCTATTGTGTAGAGAGATGCCATGGAAACATGGGGATAGTAGGACAGCATGTTATGTACACCTGCTTCAAAAGATGATTTCATTCTCTGTGAGGGTCAGCCAGACATTCCTATCTGAAATTTAGCTGATACTAATATATACAGATCCAGGAACCTGTTTTTTAGGAAGACAAAAATATTGCAGATCAAAAGTCAAAACACACTTTACTGCTGAAAAGAGATCAGTTGTAAAATATTTCATTCTGAGAAAATAAGTAATGAATGCTATCACAAACACTCACTATTTATTAACGCCACACAATATTATGAATACTGATTCATGTGGACTGGAAAGTTACAGATTAAATACTGATCATTTAAAGAGTTTATTAAAAATCGGTACAGAGTAAGGTATATAATGTTTACTTCTTAAATGAACCGCAATATTGTTGGATGTAAAGGTTATCAGGGTTATTCAAGTGAGATTTGTGGAGAAATAGAATTAAAAAAAAAAAAAAACATTTTACAACATGACAGGAGTCTTCATATTTTGCATAATAGCTCTTTACTAGCTCCACAGCAGCTAAGGAACCCATAGAAAAAAAGAACCAATCACATGAAAGTATGATGTACATAAGGTATAGTGACCTAAGCACTTCCTCTTTCTTTGCTGCTCCATCAAGCAGACATGTAAGAGTATTACTCTTATCCATTAATTTATGTTTCTATTACCACTTTTGAGATTGTTTCTGTATTATTTTTTTGATATACTTTGCTGTATGTTTTTGCTGTGCTTCTGTACTATGTGTATCTGTGTACTTTCTATGTTATTATTGTGTTTCTACCTTATTCTTGGTTTCTGCCCTCTCCCCTCCTAGCTTTCACTACTCTGGGGCTTGAGGGGCTTTTAGGTCTTACTGGGGTTGCATGTTTATGTTGAATTAGGCCATTTATATAAGCTGTTTAAAGGGATTTCACCCATAACCTTGGATTAACTATTAGAGCATGGGTTAGTGCTCTCTGTCAGGACTGTGCCCTGCACTCAAGGGCTGAGCCCCCCTACTATATTGTTTACTGCATTGTGCTACTGAATGGAGACATGCTGTTGCAGCCTCCGTTAATTGCTGGACAGGATTTACAGGACATACTGCTTAAAGGAACACTGTAGTCACCAGAACAACTACATTAATGTAGTTGATCTGATGAATATAATCATTATATGCAGGTATTTTCATGCAAACACTGCCTTTCCAGAGAAAAGGCAGTGTTTACATTGCCCCTAGGGACACCTCCAAGTGGCCACTGGAGGTGCTTCCAGGCTCAGTGCTGCAGGAGTGCCATTCAGCGTCTCCACGCTCTACATGGGGACGCTGAATTTTCCTCATAGAGATGCATTGATTCAATGCATCTCTATGAGAAGGTGCTGATTGGCCAAAACAGTGTTTGGCCCAGTCCCCTTACAGATTTTAGCCAATCCAATGCATTCCCCATTGGGACTGTCTGGTGAGGAACTCCTTGTCCTGCGTTCATAACCGGACCCCATAGGGAAACCCACACCTTCTACTCCTGAAGGGTCGGCTGACCCTGGTGGCCTGGACTCTTTCTGGTGTTCTTAGCAGATCAACAGACTATCGCAGGCTGCTAGGGACCTCCTATGGGACTCTAGAGCACCAGGGATGCGACAATGCTACCTCTCCATCTGGGCATTCTTGGTCTGGGTGGTATTTGTAACGGAACCTCGATCCATTAATGTGGTAAGTTCGGCCAGTTAAATGGCCCATGTCCCGGTCTGGGGACTCACAGTGGGAAAGGATCCTCTTGTGTGACAATTACTCAGTGACATCCACCTCCAGCTTATGACATGTGGAGATCATTCTCCATTTTCTAAGGGATGGGCATCTATTGACAGACTTTCTCTCTGTCTGTTATCGGCCAAGTTTACATTATGTTTGGTTCCCTTAACATCAGTTTTGAATTTACACCTTGTTCTAGGGATGCCACGGATTTATCATTTTTTTCACCACAGAAAGACAAGAAGCCTGGAGTTACCCTCCTGTATGTAAAGTGGAGTAACTGCACATGTAGGCTGCTAAGCAGAGCACACAATTACCATTTTATTCATACTACTATTTAGGGCCCAAATCCCTCTGTCCCTCTTTTCTTTCCTAATGTCCTTCATTTCTAGGAACTTGATATTGTTGGTGTGCCTGTGTGTATAACAGAGACCAACAGCAATAATACTCACAGTAATGTGTCTTCAAATCACAATAAATGTGTTCAGGTATCAGTCTGACGCATTCTTCTTGTTTTAAATTACATTTTAGTTGCATAAATTAGTCACCTAAACTTTGTCAGAACAGCCACACCCTGGCCACAAACCTCTCACACTCCTAACATTAAAGTATCCCTCTTTGTCCATATGAAATGCATATAACATTGCTCTTCTTAAGTTAACTGCTGTCTACTTTTTAACTGCTGTCTACAGTATAACAGAGAATTATACTGTCTTGTGTGCTAGGCTGTTCCATTATTCACCTATCAATGCCAATCCAAGCACCAAAATGGACGCAAATGTAGCAGAACTGCCCTAGTCTCTCATTGTGTAAATTTGTAGATCCAAATTCCGATGCAACATATAGGCACAACCACCAACTCCTCCATTTCTACAATGTATACAAATGGTATTACCAATATAAATGGCTTTTGATTTTATATGTGGTGATTTGACAAGCGAATCGGAAAATGTAAGCTAAAACACATTAAAAATGTTCTAGGCTCTTTGAGCCCAAACTTAGCAAATCATTGGTCAAGACTTTACAGCTCATGGCTTTGTGAAAGAATCCTTAATTGCATGGTACTAGTTTGCAAATGTTGACATCATAGTGAGGTTATGCACTTGACCCATTTCTGTGGGTTTGTGACTCAGTTTCAGTTTTACCATTTCCATGCTTTCTATCACCATACTGTGCCAATCAGACAGGTACTTCCACATGTGAATAAAACATGGGTCTTTTTCTGAATAATACATACAATTTTAAAACATCTTCTACATTTTAATTGTTATGTTAATTGCAAAGAAAATCTAAAACGTTACATATAAGGCATGTATGATGCATTATAAAAGATGGGATCTATCAAAAATAATAAGGTCATTCTAACTTACCAGGCCATTGCAAGTAGAGAGGGCTACAGATGAGTTTTCGTGGGAGAGTATGGACCCATGGTAAAAGCAGAAATCTCGAGATGAGTATGGTTCAATTGATTTAGTCCTTCCATTTCCAAATGTTTGTATTACAAATCCAGGTGCAAGAAGGTGATTAGATACTTTTAATTCCAAATGAAAGTCCTGGATAAGTCCTTGTAGATTGAGATGCAAAGGATCTGTTTCAATATTTTGTAGTGATCTTTTTCTTCTGTGGCTATGGCTAATTTCATGTGTGATATAATTTCCATCTCTGTCAACTTCGTGTGCCACTACAATATCATACTCTGCAAAATGCAAGATCAGGTTATATCATGCTGAACAGATAATATTCCAGTGAGTATAAAGATATTACAGTAAGCTTTACATTGATCCCTATCAGCCAGTGATAAATATATCTGATAATTTGGCTTCATAATAAGCTCATCACAAACTAACCTGTTTTCCACTTTAACATCCATACAGCTCGCCAAATGAAGTCCATAAATGATTTATAGAAAGCGTATCACATTATAATAGTTTAACCCTTTAAGGACCAAACTTCTGGAATAAAAGAGAATTATGACATGTCACACATGTCATGTGTCCTTAAGGGGTTAAACATAGTGGTCAAATGTAGAGTAACAATTTTAAAATGATGCTATATTTGGCTCAACATATATTTTTGCAGTGCACAATCCTTTAATTCAACTTTCACACTGCTGAACTACTGAATACCTCAAGTTATTTGATGTAATAAAAACATCTATCTACCCAATAAAGAGAGTGATTAATCATCTAGTTTAACAAGGATGCTGCTAAAAAAAAAGTGTAAAGAAGGTTTACATCAAAATAATATATGCTTTGTATAAGCATCTCTGATTAAATTAAAAATCTGATCAACAAACGGTGCAAAAATATTGTTCTTCTGTATACCTCTGATGCAATTTTTTAAATTTTCCTATGCTGTACATAGTGTACAGTTCCAATGTAGATATATTGTAGGCTTTCCCTGAACACACTGTCCTATAATAACTTCCACTACATTGTTATTTTAAAGGTATCTCTTGTGGAAAATAACTTGCAATGCAGTTCTTGACATTGGCCCATTGTAACTGCTGTAAATGATGGAATTCATGGAAGTAAAATAGACATCACTGGGTGCCAACAGATCTGATGAAATCTAAAGGTTGGTTTAATAAACACAATGCAACTGGGTATTATAGAGAATTAGCTGAAACATGAAGTCTGGAACATTAAGTCCAAGCAGTCTCCATCTCTAGATAAATCTGATAACCTAGAATGATGGTTATTGGACTTTGAGTTTGAAATCAAATGCATCCCTGGCTGATTTTCCAATCCATAATTTCAGTTCACCATCTCTAAAGATGTGAACAGAAAGAAAAAATTTAGTCAGCATAGTGCAATTTAAAACAATCTTCTAGAAAAAAAGTGTAATTTAAAGGTTCACTATACAGGGAGTGCAGAATTATTAGGCAAGTTGTATTTTTGAGGATTAATTTTATTATTGAACAACAACCATGTTCTCAATGAACCCAAAAAACTCATTAATATCAAAGCTGAATATTTTTGGAAGTAGTTTTTAGTTTGTTTTTAGTTTTAGCTATGTTAGGGGGATATCTGTGTGTGCAGGTGACTATTACTGTGCATAATTATTAGGCAACTTAACAAAAACAAATATATACCCATTTCAATTATTTATTATTACCAGTGAAACCAATATAACATCTCAACATTCACAAATATACATTTCTGACATTCAAAAACAAAACAAAAACAAATCAGTGACCAATATAGCCACCTTTCTTTGCAAGGACACTCAAAAGCCTGCCATCCATGGATTCTGTCAGTGTTTTGATCTGTTCACCATCAACATTGCGTGCAGCAGCAACCACAGCCTCCCAGACACTGTTCAGAGAGGTGTACTGTTTTCCCTCCTTGTAAATCTCACATTTGATGATGGACCACAGGTTCTCAATGGGGTTCAGATCAGGTGAACAAGGAGGCCATGTCATTAGATTTTCTTCTTTTATACCCTTTCTTGCCAGCCACGCTGTGGAGTACTTGGACGCGTGTGATGGAGCATTGTCCTGCATGAAAATCATGTTTTTCTTGAAGGATGCATACCACTGCTTGAAGAAGGTGTCTTCCAGGAACTGGCAGTAGGACTGGGAGTTGAGCTTGACTCCATCCTCAACCCAAAAAGGCCCCACAAGCTCATCTTTGATGATACCAGCCCAAACCAGTACTCCACCTCCACCTTGCTGGCGTCTGAGTCGGACTGGAGCTCTCTGCCCTTTACCAATCCAGCCACGGGCCCATCCATCTGGCCCATCAAGACTCACTCTCATTTCATCAGTCCATAAAACCTTAGAAAAATCAGTCTTGAGATATTTCTTGGCCCAGTCTTGACGTTTCAGCTTGTGTGTCTTGTTCAGTGGTGGTCGTCTTTCAGCCTTTCTTACCTTGGCCATGTCTCTGAGTATTGCACACCTTGTGCTTTTGGGCACTCCAGTGATGTTGCAGCTCTGAAATATGGCCAAACTGGTGGCAAGTGGCATCGTGGCAGCTGCACGCTTGACTTTTCTCAGTTCATGGGCAGTTATTTTGCGCCTTGGTTTTTCCACACGCTTCTTGTGACCCTGTTGACTATTTTGAATGAAACGCTTGATTGTTCGATGATCACGCTTCAGAAGCTTTGCAATTTTAAGAGTGCTGCATCCTTCTGCAAGATATCTCACTATTTTTGACTTTTCTGAGCCTGTCAAGTCCTTCTTTTGACCCATTTTGCCAAAGGAAAGGAAGTTGCCTAATAATTATGCACACCTGATATAGGGTGTTGATGTCATTAGACCACACCCCTTCTCATAACAGAGATGCACATCACCTAATATGCTTAATTGGTAGTAGGCTTTCGAGCCTATACAGCTTGGAGTAAGACAACATGCATAAAGAGGATGATTTGGTCAAAATACTCATTTGCCTAATAATTCTGCACTCCCTGTAGTGTCAGGAAACAAACTTATCATCCTTAGAACCCCCCCCCCCCCACCCTCAGGGTCCCCCTCCCTTGGCGCTGAAGGGGTTAAAACCCCTTTAGCCACTTACCTTTATCCAGCACGGGGCTCCCTCTGCACTGGTGACCTCTCCTCCCCCGCCGACGTCCGAGTGGAGCCGAATGTGCACATTCAAACAGTCCATAGGAAAGCATTTCTCAATGCTTTCCTATGGATGTTCTGCACGCTGGATGCGATTTTCGGATTAACCCTGCAATGTAAACATAGCAGTTTCCCTGAAACTGCTATGTTTACATCTGAAGGGTTAAAACCTGGAGGACCTGGCACCCAGACCACTTCATTGAGCTGAAGTGGTCTGGGTGACTATAGTGTCCCTTTAAGACAATCATATAGGCAATTATATTAGTCAATTCAAGTCCACTTATCACAACACAACCAAGCTTGAAAATAATTAAAAGCAAAAAACATTGCAAAAAAAAGTTCTGTCACCCCTCCCCTCTGCAAAATTAGTATTTAGTAAAGATAAAATCTTTATGAAATACTTAGTGTTGGAATATTACCAAAATTCCAAACCAGTCAAAAGATATACTGAGACAAAGTACTTTGTCTCAATATTTCTCTGATGCTTGACACTTCTTGGCGAAACTACCACCATCAAGTATCAATCCTCCATCAGTTACCAGGGATGGCTGCAAGGAATTGTCTCTATCTATGGGTGGGTCTGCAGCAGTGTTAATTTTGGCGGCACATTTCAAATTAGTTTTAGTCATAGTCTTTTGACTAAAAAGCCATTTTAGTTTTAGTAAAATTTTAGTCATCTAAATTGTTTTAGTTGACATGGCTAAAATCTAATGCGTTTAGTTAAAGCCTCTATCTGTCTCTTTTCCCCCGTTCCCATCCCCTCTGTGTCTCTTTGTGTGTCCCCCAGCCCCTCTAGGTGTCTCTCCTAAGCCCAGCCAGTCTGTCTCTTTTGCCCCTTCCACAGCCCCTCTCGGTTTCTGTGTGTGTCCCCAGCCCCTCTGGCTCCCCCATGGCTCAATTATTTTGGTTCTCTTCCCCCAGCACCTTGTCTATTTCAACCCCAGCCAATTTATGCTGCTTTGTTGCTTTGTGTGTTCTCCAGCCCCTTCATGCATTGTATCTTCCCAACGTGTCTCCTTCCCTCCTTCCCCCATGCCTCTTCATGTGTATATTCCCCCCCTAAGCCCCTTCATGTGTCTCATTCTCACCATTTCACCATGTGTCATTCCCCCAGCCGGCCCCCATGTCTCATTCCCATAGCCCCCCATGTGTCTCAATCCCCCAGCCCCCTATATGTCTCATTCCTTAAACCCCCACGCATCTCATTTCCTCTCCTCCCTTTCCCATGTGTTAATTTTGGCAGCAAATTTAAATTTAGTTTTAGTCATAGTCTTTTAACTAAAAATCCATTTTAGCTTTAGTCAACTAAATCTCAAAAAGTTTAGTCAACTAAAATCTGACTAAAATTGTTAGTCAACGAAATGAACACTGTCATACAATATTGATCTTAGTACCTCTCCTCTGTTCTAATGTATCACTCATTGCTGGTGCAACTAATCATTGACATTTACACTGACTTCCTTAAGTGAAAACTTTTTTAAAAATTCTGATATTTTAGATGGCATGTACTATGTCTAATATATATTATGTTATAATGAATACATATAAATAAATTCATTTTTCATTGTGTATGTTTGCAATACTCTTTATCTCTGGGGGTGTCCACCTTAACTACTCTTTCAGAAACACCACTTAACCAATTAAATACCATGAAGATAATTGAAAGTTAGTATGGTTTCACAAATACCAATGACATCATGCATAAACAATGGGCATTTCAAAATCACATTCTAACCTGGTTACAGACATTAATTGTGCATGGTGATTGGTCAGATAAACTGTGCTGTTGACCACAGAAGATTTTAAGATGGTCATCCCCACGGAGCACAGATAAGCCAGGATATGCTCTTAAAATAGGTATTTACTTATGAGTATATATTACAATAAAAATATACACAGCCTACAGTAACCTATTTGTTTAAAATAATAATAAAAACCATGCCAGTTTTCCTTTAACATGTAATTTTAAGAGTATGCATTACAGGTATGTTTCAATTGATATTTTATTTGTATAAGTGCCAGTAGGACTGTGGTGCTATGCATAACATTACATGAAATAATTTCATTAGTTTTTAGCAAGTGAAATTGCAAGTTTGGCAACAAATCTGTATTATTATATATAAGCAGTTAATATGTGGAATTTACCAAGTGAAAACATGTTGAGACAAACAAATGTTGTACACCTCTGTAACAACACACCGACTATAGATATCAATGCCACATAGGACAGCATTGATGTAGGTCTACCACACAAGTGACACTTAATTTCACTTAGAATTGGCTTTTTCCATTAAATAAGTGACAACTGTGTTATATTTAACTATAGGACGATACACACTATTTAAGTATGTTGCTGTCAGAAGTCTAAAAATAAACCTAAAGGTCTATTTTTGCTTAATTGTCCAATTAACTGATTTGTCCTTCTTCCTTTATAAAGAAATGTTAGCAAATTAACAAACCTATTTTTAAACCTTGAAACAGACTCTGTTTAATATAATAATTAAACTGGATTTGGCAACTGCACAGGTTACTTGAGGCCAATACATCTGCCACAAGCATCGCTTCTGGTTAACAAACTCTCTTCAAAGTTATATTACGTTAAATCATATTTGCCCTAAAACCAAAATGCACATCTATTATCTTTAACTTGTTTTGTCATTGGCAGTTTTTGGAATCAGGAAAGTTATGTATTGAGAGAGGCAAGTATCTACCAGTCTATGGCTTCACCAGTATATTGTTTCATAAAAAATGCGGTTAAGACGTTCTTTATAATGCAAAAGTCGCAACATGCCTCGAGTTTTAAATATATTGTTATTGTAAAATCAATCTATGTAAGGAACTATAGTGATTTCTGTGATAGTACACTACATCCACAGTATTTATGATACAGGTGTTCTGTGACACTTCCTCTTACAATTTCTGATGTTCTAAAACCATTTATATTTGCTTACACTCTAAAAGAATTGTAGGATCTGTTTACCATTTCTCTAAGAGTTTGTTTACATAGAAAGCAGATATGCAACCCAGTGAGGAACCCAGGCTTTCATATTGGGGAGACCATTAACACATAACAAAATACACCAATGCAATTGTAATTTGTAAGAATAAGGAAGTGGGATTTCAAATGACAATTTAGGTTCAGTGACAGACACAAATTTACCATAATGCCATGGAAAGGGCAGGTTCAAGCAAATTTTATTCTTTAGGCAAACATCCATGTGTAAACACTTCCCCAACTTCCAATTGTTGGCAATTTTTGTTATTCTCCCATGACTAGGGGTGAGAACTACCTCTCTCCAGTAGTAGTGTCTTTCCCATCAACTATATAATGGTTAAGCATTATATAGTTGATGATCTGAGCCCAGAACACACTGTTAAATTGTCTTGGTTTAAGGCAGGGATAGGCAGCCTTTGGCATTCCAGGCGTTTGGACATGTCCCATAATGCTCTTATAGCTGTAATGCTGGCAAAGCATCAAAGGCAATGTAGTCCACAACATCTGGAGTGCCAGGGTATGATTCTGTGGTTGTCCAATAAACTATAAATGGCAAATTGTAGGCCAGAGGCTTGAAGTGGAAGTATAGCTTTTTCTAATTTGGTTGTTTTGACCTAATGTTATATCAAGATAAGCAATATTATAAAGCATGACACAATCTGTAACATTTTATCCCCCAATCTGCAAATGATTAGAGAGATTCATTTATAAATGCACATCATTTTCAATTTATAGAAATCCCTGAACAGCAAACAATATGTAAAATGTGTCTTGTATCTGCTTTTTAATAACAATATGTTTCAGATACATCATACTTGGTTTTTATGAAAATATCTTAGAATTTATGGAATTAATCAATGTGAAAACATTAATTTGCATTGAATTGATTTAGAAGATGTTAAATTTTACGTTTTTTTTCTATCATATGCATCATGTATACATTGGATATGATTAAATCATAATACATTATTTCTAATTCAATGCATTCTGGATGGTTATATTAGTTTAATTTATCTGTGTACCTATATGTACCAACATTTTTCCATGACAGAAAGGAGCATCATACTGTATATATCCTTTAGATGTTGTGCTACTTTTTTTTTATCAGTAAATGTTAATGTTCAATCACTGGTAAGTGGAAACTGTTGTTCTGAATGAATTAATGAATTAATTAATAAATGAACGAACAAATGAATTAATGAATGAATACAACTTAAAGCTTGACAATAAGAGACAGGTGATTTGATATCAATATTGTGCAAGTGCTACACAAGCTGCAATCTGTGTAATAATCAGCATTGGGAATCTATTTTTTTTTTTAAATTATGGCTGCAATGGCCAAGTCAGATTTCAGTATATGCTGGCACATGTCCAGCAACATTTAAATGTTTATTCACCAACCAATGACTTGTAGTGGTTGGGTGCGCTAAAGCAATATACATATATGTATATATATATGTGTGTGTGTGTGTGTGTGTTTTGTTGGACAGGTAGGTTTTCAAACTTTTTTTATTTTGCCTTAATAATAGGAAGTAAATCTCTAACACCTGCATTGCTGTATAAGCACTCTTTGTGCCCATTCTCCCAGCATAAGATGCCCAAAGGTAACCAGTGACTCCTGATATTAAAGTGCAACAGATTCCCCTCATATTAAAGTGCGGAATGACGTGACAGATGTTCAGCTTTCTTTGTTGTTTTAATTATCACTTCAGTGTTTCCCTACAACCAAACATAGCTGACATGACTCTATTTCATGACTTTGGTACAATTATTTTGTAGACAGTTAAGCACTATAGAGCACTATTGGAAATTTACCAGTACCTAAACTGTCCTGACTGATACAATGTGAGCCTGATTCACTATGTAACCATGCACTCATTTCACCTTAGTGAATAAACATTTTGTGATTTTTTTTAATCTATTTTGATATTTGTACGTCATCTAGACATATTTCAACAGTTTACAAGCATTTTGTGGTACAACTGAACACATACTTATTCATCTAGCGCCCTCTAGTGTAGCTTTCACTCACTAGCATTATAAAGTGAAGTGTGTGCAAAAGACAAGCAGCGTGTACACTGTATGAGCTTTGAATATATTTAACCATCACTGACGGCTCAAGGAAACTTCAATGTACACAATAAAGCAACAACAGAGCTGGCAAAATATGTACAGGAAGCTAAATACTCATACTATATGTTTTTCAGTAAGGTCATTAAAAAAAATAAAAATAATAATTTGACATCATTTGAACTGACTCTGTTTATCATACAAAAACACAGTTCTATCCTGTAGTTCGGTTAGATATTGCAACTCTCCGGTCATGTAAGGTAAATGGAACCTATAGTTATTATGTGTGATTATAGCTTTTGAAGTTATTTTATCAGAGATTATCCTAAAACAGAAGCTAAGAATCCTATGTACAGCCCACATTAACACGTTCATTGCTGAATACCCATTTCTGTGAATCATGCACTAACTACATCGATGAGGGCTAATCTTGGCTAACGTCCCTGAGTGTTTTGAAATGAATTTCCCACAGTACTTAGTCTAAAGCCTCAAGGGCTGACAAAGCATTATGGGTTATGTAGTTCACAAACAGGGGTGCTAAAGTAGCCAAAACGAGCTTACGTGACTTCTATACAGTTTGCTTATCTTTAAACATGGAAGACCACAGTGAATACAAAGTACATTTGCAATTAATGGTGATGTAACTAGCATGCTGCACCTGTTATTCTGTACATATTTTGGATATTCTGGAGCATTTTGAGAGCATGCTAGACTATCTCCTGGGCACAAATACACATTACCTAAGAACATTGGCTATTGCTCTGGATCTAAAACTTTGTACGAGTGCTTCTGTTTCATTTTAGTTAAATCACCTCTTTTGAGTGGATAAAACCACATATGTTGTGTTGATATAAAATACAGTTTTTGAAAGAAATGTACAAATGTTAGGGATTATTAACAATTAAGGTCAATACAGCATTGCATCGCCATTTATTCTGTTCACGTTCTAGAAACCTAATTTATCCAGAATGTATCCAGTTAACCCTGAGTGCCAGAGGGGTTAGCACAGAAACCGGTTGATAATGGGTTACATTAGAATAATGACGTATACATAAAACAATAACATTTGTAATGTATTATATGATAATCCCAGTCATTATGTCCATGCAGTCACCATACGGTACTTTTATTGACATGATTAATAGGCACCTGGTACCCAACTACACAGAGCAAGCATCCTTATTTGAAGGATTTTAGTCATAACACAGAGCAAGCAGAGACACGGCCCACTATTGAATGGGGTATGTTACCTCCATCTAAGTGTTAAATTGAAAAGAATAAATTAAAAAAATTAAAATGACCCACCCTTTAAATATGAACTCACTACTCACCATTGTTTTCAGTGATTTCCAGTATGTCATTGTGCAGTGATGGTGACAGGGTGCCTTGTCTTCCTGAATCCATTCTCCTGAAGGTAGCATATACAGATTGGGCCTGGAAATCATGTACATATTGATAAAACAAAATCATTTATCTGCAGCATTAGAACACATGATATCATGCAAGGACAGGTAAATGTGAAAGTAAACTTACCTTATATAGGGCAAGTGCAAGCAGCAACCAACATATGCCATCTCTTAGATCCATCTCTACTCTGTCTTCATACAGTGCAGCTCTGATCAATCATAAGATCACAGTGATTTCTTCTTCTTTAAATGTTTAATGGCAGTATTTCATTACTGACATCACTCTGCTCTGCTTGTGTCAGCGAGTGCCAATCAACCAATACAAGATCAATGCATGCACAGCAAGGCTTTAGTTTTCGGTGGTTTACTCCTGATTTATGAAATCATCCATTATAATTTCTATACCATGTGATTATGCTTTATTTTCTTTTAAATTGCAATCTGTGGTGTAGTGGTTTGTTCCTTGCTGTGCAGAGATCTGGAGGGTATAGCTGCTGGCATAGAGTGGAATTAGACAGGCAAGTAGCTGCAAACTGTCTTGAGAGTAAGTGTATTGCTGTGTGTTGGGTATTAAGATCCTTTGCTCAGTAACCCCCATGTGTCTCAGTGCAGCAGCCTGCAGCAAGTATCCCTTTACTAATCCTGGCCAGCCGGCTTCTGTTGCTGACTGACTGTGCCCTGTAGCCAATCAGTGGGGCTGGTTCCTGTAGTGGGCTGGTGCCTTGTTTAACCCATGCCTGACTGCCTGATCTGTGATCACATGTAAACTGGAACTGCAGCTAGGAGACACCTTCAGCACATCTGACAATTAATTGCATGATCAGGGACAATAAATAGAAACTCTTAGATCCTTAATACCCCCAGTTATATCTAAGTAAAATGACTGCAAGAATAGAACTGATACAAACCGAATTAGGATGTTTTATTTAATTTTGGCATTGTTTACTTGTGCATTTTAACTGATGGGTCCAGAGTTGCAAAGCTGGTTGTGCACTTCTACGTAAATGATGGTTAATCAAAGAATGGATACATAAGATCAACATTGACATTATATATATGTATGTATATATATTAGCATTACTGATAAAATATTTAGTATTTTGTGCTCCTTTTTTTTTTTTTTTTAAATGTGAATTAGGTAATATTTAGCTGGATTTATTGAAGACAAAGATTATTTAGTTTCAGTTCTAAAAATTTTATTTTATTTTAAACAGAGTAATCAATACAAGTGGATCTTTGATAACAAAACCCTGAGTGCACACTTTAATATAATGCTCTGTGCTTACTTGTACTTTTAATACATACTTCATATTTCCAAGCATTAAAATTATGACAAACATGTTCTATCTTTCATGACTGTAATATACAATACAGACTACGTAAAACATAATAAACAGTAAAACTCATTAATTATTTAAAAAATAATCTGTTACTCAGTGTTTTAATTGATCTATCCAGTAGGCGTACAGAAAATGTTGTTTGGGAGCTTATGTATCAAACAGTGAGGGGAAGTGAAATGAAAAATTGCACATTTTAGTCTAGAATAGCCATCTAGAACTATTGCTAACATGGGGATAATTTCCCACAGCCCTACATCTGCAATTTGATGAGATTTTGGTTCATATACTACACAGCCCTTTGATTAAGAAGAATGCACAGAGCTTGTTTGTAAATGAACAATGTGTATGTGTGAGTTAGGTGTCCACCAATTCCCACAAGAAACAAGATTAACAATTGTCTCTGCTAAGTACTGTTCATATCAATAAATTAATAGTCACTATAAAAAAGGCAACAATCCCAAGTCAGCGTGGGAGCAGCACAGCACAGAGCAAGCAGAGCCAGCAACCCCCAGCCTGCAATCAGAATACTGATCAGCCTCTACAGTTATCACAATTTAAAAAAGCCTTTTTTGGAGGCGGGGCCTGACGAGCATTGCGACTGGATGTGAATCCTGAGAGCTCCTTGAGAAAAACTTACGAAAAGACCATTATCAAGCTGTTCCACTCACATAATCGCCGAGGATAATCTAGTCTTCAATTTACTTACCCACTGACCAACTTGGGAGCGTATCCAGCAGTCTTACAAATCTCCCCAGTCGCTGACAAGCAGCGTTCCTCTCCCGGACCAGCGCAGGCTATATGGTTCTGTCACCCCGTTACCCCCCCCCCCCTCCATTTGTACTGGCGGGGGTGATCCCGGTACCCATCCTGATGACTCCCAAGTTTCTGTGCAGAGCAGTGGCTGTGCCACACACCCCAGCATGGCCATAGGAGGCAATCTCAAGATGGCTGACGCCACTAGTACACCATCGCTAGGAAGAGAGAAGAGCACTATTCTCCAAAGACTAGATGCTCTCTTTGAAGCATTCTGGAAAAAGCTGGAAAGTAAAATGACCCTATATGAAGCAGAAGAGTTTCCTTCCACACGGTACCCAAACCGCATCCTGATAAATAAGGCAGTCCCCACCATGGGCCCAATGCACTCGAGGCAACGAAAGTCACACTGGTGTACCAGAAGTAAAGCAATACATCGGCGGTCACTGAAACTGCATCCCTCCAAGCCCATCAAGGCAGAGAGGTGGGGAAGGAGACCTGCAGCCACCAACCCCAACGTTGCCATCTTCAGTACACAGCCTGCAAACTCGAGCTATATGGGACTTTACAATGCCAGTTGAGGGGATAGGCTGACTGCCATGTGGAGACTCTCAATGCACAATACAGCCCAACATGCTAACCCTTTATAGAGTGTGATTTCTCTTATTTTTCAAATACAAAGAAACTAGTCCTGCGCTCAAACTCCCATTGCTCCTGGGCATCAGCAATGACTATAGTACACATCAGCAAAAATACACATAGTAAAAACCAAAGAAAAAAAAGTTACCTGCGCTCTTTTCACATTCCTATGTATTTTTAAACAAATAGAGGTTTTTAGTTACCTCCAATGGCCATGAGAGGGTATGCCCACCTGCCACGTCAAGGCAGACCTCTTAGGTGGGTCCTAACGCTAACCATTCGCCTTGCTTCCTTGAGCTTCTGGCAAAAATATCTCTAATGAGACAGAAAGGGGTATTTTTTATATACATCCCTGCACGCTTATTAACCATTAATAGGGAACACATGGGATGGGCAGGAGCATTGCAACCTAGCTGTGTGATACAAAAGTGAATACAAATACAAAGAAACTAGTCCTGCGCTCAAACTCCCATTACTCCTGGGCGGCAGCAATGACTTTAAATGTGCAGAATTTTCATATGCCATGTACTTGATTACCCTATGTTGATATGCTGATATGCTTACTGAAGCTGCTGTGGCATTGCAAGCTGTTTAAATCCACAACAAAAATAAAGAATTAAAAAAAAAAAAAAAGCAACAATCTGGTCTTATTTGACAATCCTCATGATCTTCATCAGCACCATACAGTGTCACTTGTGTTTGTGTTGGTACATTAAAAAGGACACATTAACAGCGTTTTTGTTTTCTTACTAGCATGGAAAAGAGATTAGAACAGTAATGCAGACTGAAAAAAGACTCAAGACCTTCAGGTTCAGTTTTTTATACATCTCTCTTTCTGTTGTTGATACACAGTCAGATTACTCCTTTGATCAAAAAGCTATTACCACATTTTTTTCACCCTAGTTATTTTAGCTATTATATCCTTGAATATTCTGTTTTTGCATGGCAGCATCCAAAACATCTACACAAAGAGATTGAGTCAACCTTTTAATACTTACCGCTCACTTTTGTACCTTTGTTGATGGTAACATTTCCTTATCGCCCACCAGTGCTGCAGTAACTAATTTTATAGCCCAAGTGCAATTTTATTTATTTATTTTTTTAGAAAGGATGTTTTTTTAAATATGTACTTACATTTACATATTTTTTTTCCTTTTTTCAATTTTTTTTATGTGTGTCTGTGAGGTGCTGTGTGTGTCTGTTTGTGTGTGAAGGGTGTTGTGTTTGTGTGTTAAGGGTGTAATGTGTGTGTGTATGAATGGTGTAGTGTGTGTGTGTGTGTGTGAAGGGTGTAGTATGTGTACATGAAAGGTGTAGTGTGTGGGAAGGGTGTAGTGCGTGTGTGATAAGTGCTGTGTGTGAGAGAGGTGCTGTGTGTGTGTGAGAGGGCAGTGTGTGTGTGAGGGGGCAGTGTGTGTGTGAAGGGGCAGTGTGTGTGTGAAGGGGCAGTGCGTGTGTGTGTGTGTGTGTGTGAAGGGTACAGTGTGTATGAAGGGTGCTATGTGTTTGTGTAAGAAGTGTGTGTGTTTGTGTATGAAGTGTGTGTGTGTTTGTGTATAAAGTGTGTGTGTGTGAGTGGGCAGTGTGTGTGAGTGGTGATGTGTGTGTGTGTGCGTGTGTGAGAGTGGTGATGTGTGTGTGTGTAAGTGGTGATGTGTGTGTGTGTGAGTGGTGATGTGTGTGGTGTGGTGTGTGTGTGTTTGTTGGGATGCGTGTGGATGTGTGTGTGTGGGTGTGTGTGTGTGGTGATGTGTGTGTGTGTGTGAAGGGTGATGTGTGTGAAGGGTGTGTGTGTGTGTTAAGGGTATGATGTGTGTGGTGATGTGTGTGCATGGTGATGTGTGTGTGGTGATGTTAGTGTATGTGTGTGGTTGTGTGTGTGTGTGGTGATGTGTGTGTGTATGCAGGGTGCGATGTGTTTGTGTGAAGGGTGCGATGTCTGTGTGTGTATGTTTGAAGGGTGCAATGTGTGTGTGTGAGTGTGTGTGTGAAGGGTGCAGTGTGTGTGTGTGAGTGTGTGTGTGAAGGGTGTGATGTGTGTTAAGGGTGCGATGTGTGTGTGTGTAGCATGTGATGTGTGTGTGTGTGTGAAGGGGGCAATGTGTGTGTGTGTGTGTGTGAAGGGTTCATATGGTCTATGTTGTGTGTAGGTGGGTGATATGTGAAAATCTTAATGTCTTCCCCTCCCTTCTTCATTCCTTTTACCAGGGAGAGGGGCATAATCTGCAAGCCCTGGTGGTCCAGTGGTGGGATGTTCATTTTAGCCTGCACCTCCTCCGGCTGCAGGCTGACTCTCCTGTACTCCTGCAGGCACAGCACTGTATTGGAACATTGCCATAGTAACGGACAGCAGCGCTCCGGCCAGCCTGCTTGCAGGCTCGCAGGCTCCTATGCCCTTACCTCCCTCTGCTGGAACTAAGGGCCAACCAGCCTGTGAGGGAGATCTTTGATCTCCTCACCAGTCCAAGAGGGCTTACAGCAAAGCTGGCTCTGCATGGGCTGGCATGGGAGATGACGGATCTGCTTAACTTGGTCTAGGGCCATCGAGCGTCTTCTGCAGAATCCACCACTGCCCAACTGAAATCCAAAACTGCCCACTTGTGGGCAGTAGGGACCAGGTTGACTACACCTGATCTTCACAATTAGATTAAAAAAAAAATCGGAGGCAGAAAATTCCCCCTTTTTTATGTTCTTACTCTAAAGAACTCTGTATTGTACCATATGTCTTTTCTTCCTATCCAAATGGGTGACCTCTTGTACTTTGCACAGTCCTATTAATGAACAAGTTACCAGAAAGCTGTTTGTGCTGGTCATGTATATATATATATATATATATATATATATACATATATATATGTATATATATATATATATATATATATATATATATATTTACAGTATCTCACAAAAGTGAGACACCCCTCACATTTTTGTAAATATTTTATTATATCTTTTCATGTGACAACCCGTCAGCCCGTCAGTGCTCAGACTATACGCCGCACACTGCATCAAGTTGGTCTGCATGTCAGTTATCGCAGAAGGAAGCATCTTCTAAAGATGATGCACAAGAAAGCCTGCAAACAGTTTTCTGAAGACAAGCAGACTAAGGACATGGATTACTGGAACCATGTCCTGTGGTCCGATGAGACCAAGATAAACTTATTTGGTTCAGATGATGTCAAGCGTGTGTGGAGGCAACCAGGTGAGGAGTACAAAGACAAGTGTGTCTTGCCTACAGTCAAGCATGGTGGTGGGAGTGTCATGGTCTGGGCCTGCACTGGGTAGCTTCAGTTCATTGAGGGAACCATGAATGCCAACATGTACTGTGACATACTGAAGCAGAGCATGATCCCCTCTCTTTGGAGACTGGGCCGTAGGCAGTATTCCAACATAATAACAACCCCAAACATACCTCTAAGGCAACCACTGCCTTGCTAAAGAAGCTGAAGGTAAAGGTGATGGACTGACCAGGCATGTTTCCAGACC